CGCAGACACATGCGCACACATGCCTCTCTTGCTTGTGCCACCTTCAAAGCCCCAACCACTGATTGAAGTGTCGCAGCGTGTGGGAGAAAGCCGGGTTTCCGTTGCAGGGGAGAAAAGCGTACGTCAGACCACTGCGTGTGGAAGCCTAGTTAGCGAGCCCGCTGTACAGCGGAGTAGAGGGTCTGCCGGTACACGGTAGCGGTTAAGACCCAGAAACTACAACACAATTCTTTGGAAGAACTTAATGAACGTTAAGCTATTTGCAGTCGTTTTTAAAATTCCATGTCAATGAAGGCCGTAGGTGACAACCATGTGCTCCCTCCCAGGGACATCACGCAAACCCAAGCTTAACTCCAAGAGTGCAGCGGTCCGTCACCGGGGCTCCTGCACTGTCACCACGCCAACAGCAGTGCTGCCCCATAAAGTAAGGATGGTTTTCAGCATAAGCTTAGGCGCGTTGCTGAGTGGAGATCTCACGTCAAGTCTTGTTAGATTTCTGCCTTAGAAGAATTAGTGAGGGAACATAAAATATACATCCATCTCGTAAGCTTCTTCAAAGTCGTCAATTCAGTAGAAAATACCGAGTATATAAATGACTATAATAGGACTTGGGAGAGAGCGTAAACCTCACTGTGCCTTCTTATTGGGGAATTCAGGGGAGGAGGCAAGTAGTTCTTTCACAGACTATAAATGCACTCCTTCACGGCGCTCAGTGTCCCAAAGTGCCTCAGCATCCCGGCAGCCGTAGGTGACAGTTCCACGATATGTACAAGGTAAGGAGAATGTCACAAGTACTAGGAAATATGGCAGATACACCTAGGAGCTCTACAACCTACCCAACCAGCATGGCCAACAAACGGCATCTAATGGATAATGCATGGCGTACAACACGCAAGCTGCGGAGTTACGCTTCCTTGAGAAACCGGGATTGCAACCGTCAACTCCAGAGTAAGTCTCACGAGCAGCATTTGGCTTACTGCGCCACCTCTGGCAATACCTGAAGCCCACCACCCCATGAGCACGGCACCTTCTGCTGCGACAAGAACCCACTTCACTGAACCGACCAGAGCTGGCGGGCCCACGGCCTGCAACCCGCGTGGCTCCGGCAGAGGTTAGACAAAAACGCTCCAGCAACACCGTTTGGCTACCGCTGTAGGCTGTCTGCGCGACACAAACCTTGCTCTGGCAAAAGGAAAGCACACAGTGATATACAAATGGGAGCGATGGCTGAAAAGATTACACGGTCAAGCCTGAAAGCAACTGGAGGTTAACGAAAAGTAGTCTTTTAGGAGAGGTAGCCATAGTTAGACTCAGCATTCAAAACCAGGGAGTGCACTCAAAGGGTCAACATACATTACAGTCTCTTGCAGACCCGTCGTGTTTCTGGTTTCCCTACGTTTTTTCTGCAGAATGTACACACCCAGGCACACACACACACACATATATACACACACGCATCTATCTTTTTTCCTAATTCCCCTTTGTTGCCATAACTTTGCCATACTGAGAACACAGGCCAGCTTTCCTTCCATCCTCTCTCAGCTGTCCTGCGCCTACAGCTGTTGCCTTCAGTCCATTCAGTACCCGTACAGTAGCTAAACAGGCAGTGGAAATTAAAACCGCGTCCGTTGGATATCCTGTTCCAAACGACAGCATCCAAACCGTAAGGCATTCCCTCGCTCTGGCGCGAGCCACGACTCCCTTGGGTTTCTACTTGAGACAAACTGCAGAGCGCTCTTCAGCCTGGCACTACAAAGGCCGCTTTCACCCAAATAATAAAGACCAAAGCTGGAATTTAAACACCGCAAGTTCACACGCTCCTACCAGTCCCTTCTTCCTGTGCCCCGTTCCAACAGCGCCTATCACTTCAATTTCAAAAGTCATGCACCAATGCTATAAAATAGATACCCAAACTACCAAGAAGTCTCTTGCTCATGACTTTGGAATATTGTATTAGTATAAAAGAGCATTCAGTCATCTTAAATAAATATATTCTATTTCTGAAATCACAGCACATTCAAGGGGTAGTTACTGCCATAAGCAGAGCATTAAGTAATCTCCGTAGATGTTTTCAGAATGAGAGAATCATTTAGGTTGGCAAAGATCTTCACGATCACTGAGTTTTGATTGGTTTGGTCTAATATCTGGAGAATAACCTACTGTGGGGATAAGAATCTGCATCTCAAATGTTCTGCAGAACATTTTTCCCATGTTTGTATACAGTACTAGAACAATTAAGAAGACATTACAGTAATTTTCTCCCAGCTGCTTATATGTGTAGCTTCAGCTACGACAATGCATTCTGTATACCTCGAAACTACATACGAAGTATCAAAGATCACTAAATAAATAAAAGCCAAGGAAAAACTGGGACAGTACTGCATTTTACACTTGAGACAAGATTCCCCCCTCCCATGGATAAGTCACAGAGGACGACTACGGTAAATGCTTTTCTTTTTTCTTTTTTTTTTTTTTTTTAAAGAAAGATTTATACACAGGTTCAGATCCAGAAAATAATGTGAAATGCATAAATATCGATAGCTTTAGCTAAGTTAAAATGGGTTCAGTAAAGTATGATACAACATCTTCAGAATAAACAAAGCAGAAAAGCATCATATTTTGGTTTGCTTGAGATATACATAAGGTGCAACAATTTCTTCTCTAGAGGCATTTGTGGACAACGTGTTAACGGGTAACAGTGTTTGCTGGTATACTGAAGTACACACGATAGCAATAAGATTTTCCAAAATGAAAGCAGCTGAAATGAATAAAAATTAAAACAAAACAAACAAGGAAGAAAAAAAACCCCAACCCCAATACAGTAAGATATTGGTCTGAAATTTTCGTTGTGCTAACAGACTTTGTTACCTGAAAATACTGATACCCCTTCTAGTCGATTGAGGGAAAAATCTAGCTACTGAAATCAAGACATCACTCAGAGAACCAACGAAGGCAAATGCCTAGTGAACTATAAAGCTTTGCAGGATTTCTGCTACTCTCAGTGCCTAATCGCTTAAAAATTAAGCATATCTACAAAAAGGTTTATAAGTATCTGAAAACAGTCATATCCAGTAAACTGACCCAACCCTACCCCCTCTCTAAGGGAAAGTCAAGGAAAAGCAGATCAAGTAAGATATTAATTCATATAGAAAAAAGTAATTTTCTGTTTCTTTTAAAAAAGGTACCATTAATATACAGAAATATCTTCAGGAACAATATTGAAATTTAAATCGAGGAAGGATGGGGTGCTTTGACAAAAATATATCTACTCTAAAGGTTTCTAGAGAAATAAGTTAGTACCATTGTCAACGTGAACGGCCTGCACTGTAACATATTTGGATTTCAGCTAATTATAAAGTGGTCCAAAACTCCAACAGCCACCTTGCTGTGACCCAACAGTTTTAAGTCTTTAAGGTTTTCCTGTCTTGTTAAAATAACTTATAAAACTTTAATAAAATCTTGTTAAAAATACTGCCATAAGCTGCAATGGCATTCTAGGGGCTCTTAGTCATGTATTCACCTGAATTTTTAAAAAGCCTTTTCACTGACTCATTGGCTCGTAAATTTTGTTGTTCTTTTGTTGTTGTTCCCTTCTTCCAACACACGCATCCCCCACGATGCTGTTTCAGTGACACTTCCCCAGCTACCTGCCTTCTGTCAGACCTTTAATCCTTCGTTACAATTCCTGTGGCATGTCGTATATTGTTTCCTGACACTGAACCAAAGACTTTCACTCAACTACGACAATGAAAGGCTAAAATCTAGCAAGCATTAATAGAGTTACTGTCCATATGGCTATTACATCGAATTAGTTACAAAATAACCCCAAAACACATTATCAGTTCAGTCAAGTATAAATAAGAATGCCTGATAGAATGATGTAAACTCGCATCATTTAAAGACTTAATGCAAAGAACTTCAAACTCAATTCAATACTATCAAAAGTTCAGCCGGTATGACGAAGACTAATAGAAAATTATTGCTGGAGTCCAATTTGGTAAATTGTTGTGCTACAATGCAAAAAGTAGGGAAACATCTTGTGCTGTAGAAGAAGTACCCTGTTGAATTTGTAGCTTCAGATCAATTAATAGTGATCATTTTGCATCTGTTGGTAGGAATCAATGCTTGATTATACAATAGTGGTAAGTCAAGATAGCAAAGGTAACAGGCCAAGTGATACACTTGGCTCGCTTTTGGGATGTCTATATGAGAGCAAAACGCAAAAATTCAACATAAGCAAAGACAGAAACTGGCAGATGGATCTGTTTGGTAGTCTGAATTCAGTCAAACATTACTCTTCAGTTGTAGTTTATCCGTGTACCACTTGCCACTTTACCGACACAACGTGTAATTGGCCCTCTACGCAAACTCTGTAGCCGATTTGGACTGTGCATAGTAACTACAACAATGCCAGTGTCTGTAAAATGTAAAAGGTATGTGTATCGGTGTACATGTATATTGAAAAGTCACGGTTTTAGGTTTTTCAGAACGGTGAAATAATACTAAGGTCACTTTTGAAAAACACATTTGCAGTACTTTTTGTTTATAGGAAAGTTTCACCAAGTCACTCAGATATCTATGCAAAAATAAAGGAACCCTCCAAGGCATAAAAGACAAGTCAAATTATCTGCAGTATTTTCTTTTCCATACACCACTCCTTCTTCTAATGCACATCATCCTGGATATTCAAAGCTAAATTAAAAAGAAACAAACCCAAACATAGCCTGTCAGAATTTTTGCCAGTAAACTCTACCACTCTGGTGGCAAATATAAAAGTGCAGAACATCTGGACCACGTGGCTGCCCAAACACCGCTAACAATGGTACATCTGTCCAGGCTGCCTTGAGTTCTCTGGAACAGGTTTTAAATTCATTCTACAATATAAACGTAGGCATAACCTATTAATATAAACCATCTTAGAACTTAAATCTTCATGTACAAAAATGACTAAGAATATCTAACAATAACTAGTGCAGTGCGTCAGTGTTTTTGTTGTTGGTTTTTTTTTGAATTTTTTTATTTTTAATTTAGAATAACTAGGTATTATACGAAACTAGTTGCCGTACTCTCTGGTTGGTAGAAGAGATACTGAGCTAACAGTAAAGGCAGCCTTTTCCACACCAACCACCTATTTACTGTTTAAAAGCCTTCAATAGAAAGCAAGCTCTGGGATCATTCCATTTCTGTTCATCAATAGACAATTAATATCACCATCCTACAAACTGGGTTCCGATTTCAGGACCTGGCCCAAGTTGCTAACGTCTGGCTTCCAGTGAATTCTGGGCCACTCAGAACAATAAACGCTTGCAGTCTATCGTTTCCATCATATGGACTGACTAGCTTTCCTTGGTAAAGACAAGGCTAGGATATTAGGTAAAGCACAATGTTTTACAATAAAGTGGAGCTTCACTGGTCAGCGCAGGAAATAAGCACTGGAGCCTGAGACATTTCATTTGGCTGTCCGTCATGTGGGAGAGGTGTGGCCCTCTGACTTCTGCAAAAGAAGAAAAGAAAAGCCACCCATCGTTATTTGGAACACGGGAGGTGCTTTTATCAGACCAGAAAGGAGGGAAAGCGGCACGTGATATGGTTTAACATCCAATGTCACAGCAACCTAACTCCCTGCTGCTACAGATGCCCAGGTACCGCTCTTACACAATACCCTGAGGACAACCTGCAGCACAATGCAGAGTCAGGCAAAGCCAAGACGTGACGATGTCTGACTGGACAGAACGGAACGTGCGGCCGGAGCGTAAGTTGAGAGCACGCAAGTGCTGTTACCCATTTCCTAAGGGAGCAGCCTAAGCCCTCAGAAGCAGAGTGTACAGCTCGCGTGTGGCACAAGAAGGCAAACGCACAGAGGCGTCTGTCACGTTCGTGCAAGGCAATAGCCAGCTTTTAAGCAATATGGAGACATACTCATCAGCAGAGTTGCACATTGGGATTACTCCAAGTTTCATGACTTAACACTTCATCAGCCCAGCACAACATCTCCCTCATTCCTACAGCCGCGCTAATTTACAAACGATCCCCTGGCACAGGGCGCCGTAAAAATAAACTGCGCCAGAATTCTGTGCTGGGAACCAACATCAATCATCACAGCAGATGGACTTGGGAGAGCTCTTTTGCAGCTTGCCTTTTAAAATACATACACAAAGCACATCACTGCCTGTTATCTAATCTCACAAGTCAGGTTCTATTTTTGTTACAGTATGTGTCATTTGCAGCGATGAAAATCTGGGGCCCGCCTCTCCTTTACACAAGGGCCGTTCTACCTCACGTTGGCACGGCCAAGGGCCCAGCAGAAACGGAGTTACCAGGGCGCTTTGCACAACCGGGGCGCGATGAAGTGGCCTTGGCGCAGAACGCAGCTCAGGTTCACAGTCCTTAACCAGGGCACGCACAAGGTCAATAAAGCTAAACCTTCACATGAAAACCACGCTGCCACTTCCAAAAAAGCTCTTATTACAGTTAAAAAGAAATTTGGCTTCCGCGGCCCAAAGCTCTGTGAAATTATTTAATAATTCAGGCACCGAAGAAAGACCCTGTGGTGCCGCTGTTCTCATTTCTGGCGATTTGCAAATAAAGCAGTGGGTTGCAAAAGATGACAAACGGCTGACAGAGCAGAAAATAGAGAAGCACCTAGCCCACCAGAATTAGGTTTCTGTTTTGACTTCCGTTCGCCAAGCCTGTGAGAGACATGGCTAAGTTTCTACTGGGAAAAAGAGTCCTCCCCTGTTGTCATTTCCCTCCCAAGCTGGAATTTGCAATGGTTGGTGGACACTTTGGTGTTTTCAGGTCTCATGGAAGGTGCTGCATTGCTCTAGCTGCGTGATGAGACAACACAGACTCAAACAGAAGGCTACGTAAAGTGTTAGCTCACTTCAACAGGGACAAGAGGAGAAGAACTCTTAGAGGAACAAGGAGGGCAAAGCCACAGCAAAGCAAATCCTGTTGCTCTTGTGCAATTCCACACAGTGTTATTGGAAATCAATGAAGCCACAAGGGCGTGAGTGAGCGCAGAGATTAGCACAGCACTTCCTCGAGTCTCACTCGTGGCTTCTGACCACAGAAGATGACAGAAATGAATTCAGTCTTTTGCTGTCTTGATAGAAGACACGTGTTTTGCAGTGCTGGGAGGAAAGGCCAGGCTTCTCACGCAAAACAATGCTGCTTCAGCAAGACAACAGCTTCTGCAGAGAAGAGCTAGGAGGCTGGATTCAGCTGACTTTGTTTCTTGTAGGGTCCCTGAGCTTCTAAAAAGCCTTTCAATGCTTGATGTACAGCCCGAACACACAGGGCTGGGTTGGCCGACAGGGACCACGAGATCAACAGTAAACGGGGGCTGTGAATGGCTTCATCAGCTGCTGCCTTGTGGAGTTTCTCAGGCAGCCAGAAACCTGTCAAATGCCATTTGCAAAGGCTGGGATGGTTTCAAACTGTCTCAGCACTTCCTCACTGACATTCCGCTGCAGGAAAGGATGGGGTTTCACTCCAATAAGCTGCAGCATCAAAGAACAACACTGGGTAATTAAGAGCCAAGGAGGACTTGCTGTCATTGGTTTCCTCTAGCATGCAGGATCTGACCGTGCTGGACCGATCCAACAGCCCTAAGGAACGTGCACATTCTCCAGATTATCTGTGTGGATGGTCTACTCAGTAATGGAGACGACCAACCCAAAATAATGTGGCTTTCCATCACCCAGAGTTGTTCTGTGCCATGTCATTCTGCTGACACTTTGCCTCCTACACAGCAAAGCACACGAGTGGAAATAACAAGTTAGTTTTCTTCAGCCATGTTCAGCATAAACACATCAGCCAAAGTTATATGGAATTCTCTCCACAGTCTTAGGCCATGAAAAATGCAAATCAGCATTCAAAAGCTATTTAAGTCTGCTATTATGTCATAGATGTCATCATTAGGACCTCAAGGAGCATATAAACCTGATTATATACAAAAATGGGTAGGTAAGCTTACCAGGATCAATTTACTGAGTACTGAAATAGATTATTACATTGTTGTTTAGGTGAAGACAACACTACGAAGCAAGTGGTGTAAAACAGACATTCATAGAAAGCTGTGGAAGAGGAAACACAGGCCAAATTAAACAGCCTGCAAGCAACATGCTTTGTGAACAAGCTGGCAGGCACATACTCTTCACTTAGACAACAAGAGGAAAAGAAAACCATACCTGTGTACATTTTCCATGGCTGCTACTTCTGCTAGAGCAGCTAAGCTAAAAAATGCAGACACCGCTGGCATATCTGATGTAATACTATGATTTTCTTCTGTCTCTGCATTTCTGGAGCATTCACTGTTGCAATCTGTTTCTGCACTTGATGTTTTTTGAAGAGTACTCTGTGGCAGCTCTTTTGGCTTCTCCTCTGCAATGAAATAAAGTTAAGCTTGCAAATCTTAAATTCACAACAGCCCATCGATACAATGACTAGTCTGGTGTTAACAGAATCTTTACCTTTAGGACTCTGATTTTCCAAGTGAATCTGATTCATGCTGCAACCTCTTCTGACCCAAGCTATTGGCAGAAGTACAGTACTAAGGTTTATGAAGCAGTTTACTGGTTTTGTACTCAACTGAATTGGATTTTTTAGGTCAGGCAAGACAGCTTTTGTATACGTTTTCGATACAGAAGTCCTGAAAGACTATCTTAACAGTAGAAGGCTCCTGCAAGGACTGTGGCACTGACTGCCATATTATGGAATTCATTTTTACAACCTATAACTAGGTGCAGTGTAATTTCTTGGCTGGACTGGAAACAAATTACGAAAGGTAACCACTTTCCATTTCTCTCTATATAAGCTCTCAATTCTTCCACAGAAATATCTGGGGAGAGAAGACAGATCTGGGCATTTAAACAAATGAAGTTGGCTGTTATGGACTCACTAATTTCCCAATTAATTGATACCTGTATTTTAAAGAATGACCTTTCCAAGCAGGTACGAGAACAAGCTAACTTCCCCAACAGACAGCTTGTACTCCCAAACCTTCTCCAACCGTTCAGTTTTAACAAAACTTAAACTCCAATTTCCTTACCCAGTGTCCCTCCTGCTGGTGACACTCGACCATCTGCTGTTCGGACAAGATGTGTGATCTTAGTTTTCCTCGCTTTTCTTTTCTGGCTGCCAACTAAAGGCTCATGCATCATTGCTGGCTCTGGAGTGTTTAGGGCAGATATAAAAATTTTATTCTTCCAGGCAGACTCACTGGAATTTCTGTCTTCTAAGAGTATGGCTGAAAGAGGATAAAAATGCAGTTTTACATGTAGAATAATTCAGTTACTAGCTATGCTCATATACCATCTGCACAAAGTCTTCCCTCACAGGCACTCAGAACACAACCCATGGCAAGATACGATCTAAATGCTTCAGATGGTTGCAGGGGAATAGTAGCATCAGCTCTTACAGATACCCTGGAAGGTTCGAGTTTCTAATATTTGCAAAGACAACTGTGAGACGGGCAGTAGCACTTCAGTGGGAGAAGGGTATCCAACAGTCTGTACAAAACACTCTGCAACGGAAGATGCCAGAAAGTAGCTAAGAGACAAAACGTATTTAAGGAGCAATATTGGTCCTCATGTAAGCTTATCTCAGCTCACAGATGGACTCACGAGCAGAATTCAGAAATTCCTGACTAAGCCCCAAACTTCCCTCTGTAGTCACTCTACGTCATTTCCTCTACGCAGAGGGAAATACTGCCTTTTACAAAACAACAAACCTTAAAAAACACCCAACAGGCAGCAAATGCAAAAGCAGAGCTGGTTCACAGCTGAAGACAAGAATGCTAAAAAAAAGAAAGCCAGCGTGGGATAAAATACCGTGACGGAAGTACTGCCTACGTAAAGTCAGAGTGAGAAAGGAACAGTCTGAATCTTTCTCAGCAGTACCGGTGTTGGTGTTTCAAAGCAGCCTTCTGCCCTGAATCAGAACACGATCACAAGTCTTCACCTGACCGTCACTTTAATCTTGCCCGTGAAGAAACGGCTCAGACAGCAATCACAAGATGTACTTAAACTCCCAAAGTCTGAGATCAGCATGTAGTCATCAATCATTTGTAATTTCCATTGATTAAGTCATACTGCTGATATCATAGCCTATCACCCGTCCATAAATTCAATCTGTGACACCTTTTTCCTCCTGTGATAAAAGCATTATGTGGCCTACCCCACCTGTGATCACCGCAAGCCAGGGTTGGAAAGAGAGTGCAGGCAGCAAAGGCAACGCCCAAGAGGTTTTTCACAGATGCCCGTCTAAGCTGTTGTGAAATCAGGAGCACTCGTGGCACCTGCACCAAGTCCTTGGGGCAGTTTTTCCCAGCGCACTGCCTGATTGTTTACATATTTTTCCTAATGCCCGCACCTCATCTCCCTTGCTGCATTTTCAACTCATTATTTTCATAGAATCATAGAATCATAGAATGGTTAGGGTTGGAAGGGACTATAAGGATCATCCAGTTCCAACCCCCCTGCCATGGGCAGGGACACCTTGCACTAGACCAGGTTGCTCAAAGCCACATCCAGCCTGGCCTTGAAGACAGCTTTCCTTACTACCCATCAGGTTATAACCCATCTCTTTGCAACAGTTCTTTATGCATTTCACAGCTGTTACTGCGTTAGCTTTCTCTTTCCCACAATTTCTTTCAGTCTTTCTCCCCCTTTTGAAGATACGTTTAAGGCCCATTTGTTCACTTGCTGGGTGGTAGGAGCAGGAAAATTTACACACACAAAACTCAAGCCGGAGTGCAAACGCCGGCTCTTTCACAAGGGCCAAGCACCCACCAGGAGCAAGCTCCTACACCGACACTGGTGGTGTCGTGCAGGGGCACCCAACCCCACAAACCATGCACAACAGCCAAGCAGCCTGCACCGACATCGCCCTATTTAGCTGTAGAGAGTATTTACACTTTATTTATTGTTTGTTTGGCAGATTTAATGAGCATCCTATTCAAAGACATGGCTAATAAACCCTCTATCTTCCCTAGCTTCTTTAAGAGTTAACTGTGCACGATGTGGGCTGGGTGAAGAGCCGTAACCTACTTTATCTTGTAGCTGTCGCCCTTTGCTCTTTTAAGTGGGAAGGGACCTTTTAATGTTTTGTGGCGTAAGAATACAATCAGATCTAATACACATGTAAAAACATTTGGAAATGTTCCAAACCTTAATTCACCTTCATATCTTCTCTGTAAAACATTTTTGACCTCGTGCATGCCCTTTATTTTGGCGGGGGGGGGAGAAAAAAGCACACAGCTTCAATTAGCTTTTCTTAATGTTTAGCTATAGCTGCTAACCTTTCCAGGGCAGAGCTATGCCGTAAAACTTACTTTGTGCAAAGAGAGCAAGAGAGATCACAAGAAAAGATCTGCCCTGTAACAGTCCAATTAAGCAGAAGCACCAAGGACTGCAAATGTGACTTTCAAGTAACTCAACTGGGCTAACAGTGAGATGTTCAGATAAGCTTACCGTGCTGACAGAGACCAAAATCATAACTGGAATGTATAATTAAGTGGGCAGCTTTCTCTCTAGATTTCTTATTTGGGAATTCATAAGCGTTGATTATGTATTAATGTAATGATTTGGTAGTAGCCTGACACTATTTGTTAATTCTCATTTGGGGATTTACTCTAATTAGATAGCACTTTGACAGTGCTGTTTAATTCTAGTTTGATTAAGTTTATAATGGCTTTAATCTTAGTAATACAAGTTGGGGTTTTTTTCTTACATTTAATAAAGTGTTAAGACATGATTTCAAACAATAAACAACATATGATAGAAAGAAACCAGATTTTGTATGTTTTTAATTAGATGATTCTATGATTCTATGTGTTGTACATTACAAGCCATCTCAGGTCACTAGAAATTAGCTTAATTGGTCAATACAGTAGACAGCTTCCTTTTACATTTGTTTTCTTTTTCACATTGTATGCGTCAAATAGCTCAAGAAATTAAAGGTAAGAAAAAACCCTGAAAGATAAAATAAAAAGAGGCAATAGTTATTGAAGACATAAGGAGTGTATGATGTCTGCGTGTTTGACTAAAAAATAGCAGAAAGTGGATGACGAACTCAGGATGCAGCAAGTATGTTCCCTGTTCATGTTTTAAGGTTTTTTTCAATCCTTGAAATGAGCCTTGAGAGTCTTCTGTTTTTACTCCTCTAGCTCTGAAGTAAGCTCTTTATCACTCCGTCGTATCATTGCTGCCATACAGTTTTGAAGAAGGAAGGGATTAAAGGTGAGCAATGAATGTGTGTTTTTTGTGCGGGTGAAGGGTGAGTGTTGAAGGGAAGATCTTTTTTCTTCTCTAGTGGATGCTGGGGTAAGAAATCATTTCATTGACTTCTTTACAGATTATTATTCAAGCAGACATTAAACCCATCTTGGAGGAAATCACACAAAGGCTTCACTCACAAGACCCTGAGCACTGAACTCCAGAGGAGAAAAGAGTCCGTGCTTCAACATCCACATAAACTAGGCTGGGTGCTAATTGGGGTCCTCCTGCACCTCCTTCAAAAGGAGCAGCACCCTACTGCTTCAACTAAGGTCTGTCCATATGGATGATCCAAACTAGGATTTGGGTTTGCTGTGCAGAAAGGACATTGCTAAACAAATTTAATTCCCTGTATTTTTCTTTAATAATTACCTTAATCCATTTCATATCCCTTCTGTTTCCACACAGTCCTGTGTTCAAGAGCTGTCCCGTGCAGAGCTCAGAGAATTCTCAGGAGAATGCTGCCTACAAACGAAATGAGGTTCTGCAGCTACCGTGCAGTCCCGCAAACAGGTATTTACACGGCCATCTTTCCACGTGACCGTAGCACATACAGAACCACAGGGCTATTTTTGCAACATGATAAGAAGATGTGGGCCTTTTGGCATGCTTAATCAACTCTTCGAGAGAGAAACATCTACAACTCTATGCCAGATGGTTTCCTGAGCTGGATTTGGTAAAAGTTAGCATGGACAGTTTACCCTATTCTGCAGGCATGCAGAACACATGTAGTCTTACTTCCCCCCATCTTTGTGAACAAGAAAAATGAATCAGTTGGACTGACTCAGCAAACCAGAGAAAAGGACAAGCTCTTCAGAGCAAAGCCCTGCAAGATGCAGGCAGATCTAAAGGCATTTCTTCAGTGATGCCTGTCTGTTACGAGAGAGGCTGCAGAAGTTTAACCACATTTAGCGGAGAAGAAATGCTCTGCCGGTCTAAGCACACCCATATCGAGGAGGAGAGGTGGGCTGTAACGCTTTCACGGTCTTTATGAAGTTAAAATGGGGAAGCCTAGCGAGTCAGAGCAAAGCTTCAAGTCACCAGGGCCTGGGGAACCAACGAAGTGACACCAAGCACACTCTGACCTACACCCTGGTGGGAATTCCAGCTCTTGGAGAAGAAATGCTCTGCCGGTCTAAGCACACCCATATCGAGGAGGAGAGGTGGGCTGTAACGCTTTCACGGTCTTTATGAAGTTAAAATGGGGAAGCCTAGCGAGTCAGAGCAAAGCTTCAAGTCACCAGGGCCTGGGGAACCAACGAAGTGACACCAAGCACACTCTGACCTACACCCTGGTGGGAATTCCAGCTCTTCAGCTCGTGGGGTCAGGCAGCATGTGGAGCTGCGGCAAGAGCTGGGACTAGGAAGAAGAGAGACAGCAGCTGACACCGCAGCAGAGAGGCAAAGCAGGTGTATGGAACAGCTGCCTGGATGGGAAGCTCTGCTGCAGGAGCCTGTGCTGACCCAGCCTTATTCCAGCCTGGATGGATGCCAAAGGCACAGTGGTACAGACCTGCTGGTTCCCTCTGGGCTGCAGGCTCCACACAGAAGGGCTTTCTCAGGAGGGGGAAAAAAAAGGTCATTCTACTGATTTTCTGCACCTTCTCCTCTTTCTCAAACACGTGCTAAGGCTGCGCAGCCTGCTGTGCATGAGGGAGAGCCGACAAGGCTCAGCAGCAGGCAGTTAGCTCTACCAGCCACTGGAGATGGGCTCCTTCCCACATCAGCTGGTGTTGAGGCTGGCAGATACGTTCATCTCCTCTTCCTCCTACTGGTGCAAAGGCCAGCGCTGCATCTGGCTGTTACCCAAACCATGCAAGAGCCCTCAGCACAGCTCATTAAATCTGCCTGCACTGAGTCAACAGTTGTGACTTACCCCTTGCTACTTCACGTATTGCTTCCCACCAGAAAGCCTTGACAGCGTGGCAGAAAATAAATCTCTCAGCGGAGTGGTGTTCGATGTCCCCAAACAGG